TAATGAGTCTGTAGAAGAAACTGTTTTAAATGAAGAAGCTGAATTCGTTTTAACAGGCATTATTACACAGTCTCCTAGCACTTCTCAAGGATTAAAGCGCAAATCAGATTACAACAGGAAAAATACAAGAACTCCCATAAATGGTAAATAGGTACCTTCTCAAAAGTAATTTAAACTCATCTAAAGTTTTATTCTTGAATTTTAAATAAAATTGTGTCACTCATTAAATTAAGTTTACATTATAGACATTTCATACATTTTACATATTTTATACATTTTATTTTTATACAATATATTTATATATGGTTATTTATCTACTTCTATTGTCTTCTTAAAAGTAATTTAAACTCATCTAAAGTTTTATTCTTGAATTTTAAATAATATTGTGTCACTCATTAAATTAAGTTTACATTATAGACATTTCATACAGTTTACATATTTTATATATTTTATTTTTACACAATATATTTATATATGGTTATTTTTCTACTTCTATTGTCTAATATTTACATTATAACTGATTCGCCTTCTGCAATTGCTTATAATGTTGCAAATTTTGCTTATTATATGGCAGCTATAAAATTTTAAAAGTAAATTTTTATTACTGATTAAAAAATGTAAAAAAAATTACTTTTTAATAATACTATGTGTTTTTCACCAAAATAGTATTTTAGTACTGTACTGGGAAATAATTGTTTTTTCAGAGGTTTTTAAACTACATAATTGCTTGGGAGTTTGATATTTTTGTGTTTAAATTTTATGAAACATGGAAAAATAAAATAATTAGGTAATTTGCTATTATTTTACACACTAAATGATTTAAGATATTTATAATGTTACCACAATTACATTTATATAATATACAAACCAATTCCACAAAATTTAAACACTGTTAAATTCCAAATATAAAAAAATTAATATTTATTATATAAAAAAATAAATTTTATATTAAAGGGCATAAATTATATAGTTATAAAAATACTTGCATAATATGTATGTGTATGTATGTACATGTATTCTAAAATGTTTAAATTTCAATCTTGTATTTTTTAAATTCCATTATAGTTTATATATTATATATATATATTATTTAATAATGCCAAAAAAATATAAGAAATTTAAACAATTATATCTTGTATTATTTACCACCATATATTAATTTTTTTATATTTCAGAGTGTATGCTGCTGGCGAATGCTGGTGTCCAATACCAAAATGAGTTGACGCCAAAAGCAAAGAGACTTTACTTAAGTGCCAAAAGGATCCGTCGACAAAATGCCATTTTAAAAAAACGAACTCGTTTGTTAAAAACTCGTTTAAAGGATTTATCGCCAGAATCATTGTTGGATAATATTACTGCAAATCTTCCCTCACACATCACAGGCTTTATCAAAAGCCAGATAAATTTATGGGACAAAAAAGGACAGGGAAAACGTTATAATTTGCAGGATAAAATTTTAGGGCTTGTAATATACAAGCAATCTCCAAAAAGCTATAGGCTCTTGGAAAAATTATTTGCACTGCCATCCTCAAAGACTTTGAGATTATTATTAAAAAAAATACCAATTAAAACTGGAATAAATGATTTTCTTTTTGAGACACTAAGGAAAAATCTTGAAAATCGCCCTCAAATAGAGATGGCCTGTATTTTAATTTTTGATGAAATGGCAATTGAGGCGCATGTAAATTTTAACGGCAAAGAATTTGTTGGGTTTGAGGATTTGGGAGATGATTCATCACAAGAAATAGCTGACCATGCCCAAGTCTTTATGCTTAGAAGTGTGGATGGCAGGTGGAAACAGCCAGTCTATTATGGATTCAGCAAAAGCGCCACTAAAAGTATTTCCTTGTGCAGAATTATAAAAGCCTTAATACAAAAATGCCATAGCATTGGTATTAGAGTGGTTGCGACAGTTTCTGATCAAGGAACAAACAACTGTGCAGCAATTAACCATTTAATGACTACCACCGTTAATGCAAATGATAATGCACATAATATTAAATTTTTTTATGTAGAGGATAAAAAAATTGTACATATTTATGACCCACCTCACCTATTAAAGGGCATAAGAAACAATTTAATTACAAAGAATTTAATATGGGAGAAGAAAGATGAAAAATTGGTTGCTTCCTGGGATGATGTATATACGCTTTACAAAATGGACAACATGCCAGGAGAGATGAGAGCTATACACAAGATCACAGAATACCATGTGAATCCTGAAAAAATAAAAAAAATGAAGGTTTCATATGCAGCCCAAGTTTTCAGCCATTCTGTAAGCTCATTAATGAATCTTTTAATAAGATTAGGTAATACCAAAAAATATTATTAAATGTTAAATATTAATTAAATAAAAATTTCAGATGCTACGACTCCTGAAGGGATTAAACTTCCAAAGTCTGCCACAGGAACAGCAGCAGTTCTAAAGTTTTTCGACGATCTTTTCGACAGTGTCAATGGGACAAGCTACCTAAGCACCAAAAAACCTTTAAAATGCTGCTTCACGAAATCATCAGGGCATTCAAAGTTTTGGTCAGAAGCGAGAAGCCAGCTCAGTTCAATGTACTATGTTAAAAATGGTGCTAAAGCATATGTACCCTCACTAAAAAATTGGGTGTATACTCTAAATGGCATTGAGGAGACTTTTAAAATCTTGTCAAGAGAATTTGATTTGAAAGAATTAAAAACCCGAAGTCTTAACCAAGATCCCATAGAAAATTTTTTTGGGCAGATGAGACAGCAAGGCTCTCGAAACATTAATCCAACAGCAAGCCTCTTCCAAAGCCATTTTAAAACACTATTAATTAATAATTTAACAAAGAGACATTCTGCATCTGGAAATTGTGAACAGGATTCGTCCCAAATAATTTCAAGTGTGGAAAATTTGTTAGTGCAGAATGTTTCTGAAGAAATGGCTTTGGAAGATTTGGTTCTTTTGGAACAAAATTGCAGCCTCCTGGATAAAATAAAGATAATGCCAGTTGCCTATGTGAGTGGATATCTTAGCAAATACTTAAAAACCTTGCCGAAATGTAACATTTGCAAAGCTAATATTATATGTGGTGAACCATTAAAGGATTGGCATGATCTTATTTTATCTAAGGAGTTCAATAATAAATGTAGAAAGCTAACGTATTGTACTCCAGCTTTTATTGGAGCATTATGTGACACATCACAAATTTTAAAAAAAAATATGCCTCTTATATGCTCAAAAAAAAATTTTTTTAATGTATTAAATGCTGCATTAAATGATATGATAAAAATTACCCTTAAAGAAGAATGTGAGCATTCAGCAGTGGTGCAATTAAATTTTTTAAAAAGTTATTCTCTTTTATATTGTCGCAACTGGGCAGCTTCCATAAATAGAATTCTAAATGGAAGGGATCAAAGAATTTTTAATTTTGAAGATAAAGTTATGAAGGCTGCCCAGTTATATTATAAAAAAAGACGAAAAACCTGCAAGGAAAAATAATTTATTTAAATATTTTATAATTTTGTTTTATTTAGGTTATAATGTAATATATTTTAAATGTAATTTATATTTTTGTATTCTAGGAAATTAGGTGTAAATAAAATTTGTAATCTTTTTTATACTTATTAATCTTATAAATTATTTTAATTGTAGGAAATATGGTGTTTTTATTATTTGTGATTTATTTGATTTTTGTTTGATTGTTTATTATTATTATTATTGATTTGTAAATTAATATTTTATTCCATTAAATTATTATTATTATTACAAATGTAAATTATTGTTATTAATTACTACTGTGCTTAATGAAAATGCTGTATCCAACAAATTTTTAATGTTATGTTTATGACGATTTTTTTAGTATAAATAACATTCTACCTTTTCAATTAAAATAAACGTCGCATCTATAAAAGATGCGCATTTTTCTTAGTGATTAAAGGTAAACTATTATTTTTACTGACTAAACCGCCATAAATTCACGTTAAATTTTTTTTGAATTCGGCATTTTCATTAAGCACGTAAATAGCCTCCTAAAACTGAAATAAACAAATAAATAAAATTCAAACTAGGCGCGTTTTATTCATTTAGTTCGCGCAAAAATACTAGATGGCGTGATACCGATTATTATTATGGTAGTTGCCTATCTCGTTTATCTCTGGGTCTTCCTGTTGTTAATTGGTTCTTTGGTAGACAACGTAGAGTAATAAAACAGATGGAATTGTCTTCTCTCTGGTAAACATAGAAATATACACAAAACAAAGTTTGACTGTCAAAACTCCACAAACCACAACAATTAGTATAGGAAAAAAAAGTTAGGTTAAGGCGCTTGCGAATGAAATATCATGCAACAGCGCCCTCCAACTTAGAGAATCGTTGAAATCAAACTGCCCTATCTATAAAATAGTCTCTTTTCTTCTCTTGTCTCTGGTGGCCACTATTTGAACAAATGGATTCGGGTTTTGTTCCTCGTGGCGTAAGCATCGCTCTAGGAGATAGTGTGCAACATAAGTGCCCTTTTATAAAGAAAAATAGGAATTTATATAAATAATATTTAAAGGCTACAGGCTATTATAATACATATTATGTCTAGGGCTATATCTGTATACATGGAAGTTGCCCAATTGCAAATGGATCTCTCTGAAGCCAGTGGACATTAGTACTTGCAGCTAGTCAGTTGCGTCAAGACCTCTCAAAAGAGAGAAGACTTTAACAAATTATTTTTAACTTTTATGAATATTTAAATAACAATTGAATTACAAAAATAAAAACATTTATTTTCTTTATTAGAGAGTATACACTTTTCTTAAGATTACAACAAATACTATTCAGTACAGAAAAAATATAGTTAATAATATATTTTTATGAACTATCAAAAATAATCTTGTAATACTTTTTTGTTTCGGATAATATTATTAGTCTTGTTTATTTTTTTTATTAAAACTTGTGACCTACCTACTTAAATAAAGTTTTTTTAAATATTAATACTAATTAACTCAGTTTGTTACCCTATTAATAGGATGACAAACAGAGTAAATTTATATTTGGACCAGGGTTGTCTTTAGCTCTTATATCACAGAACATATAAATTTATAAATTGGAGATTTCAAAAATAGAATTAATTCTTCAAAATATCCACAGTTACAAAAATAATGCAGACAATTGCCCAACAAATTATAAAGAGTAACCAAAATTTATTTCTAAAAGGACTGGCATACTTGTGCTTATTGTACCCAAAATCTCTGAAACACTGTCTTCTGGCATAAAATACCAGTGCAGCTGGTATTATATACTGCACAATTACACCTGCATAAGTCCCTGTTATTTCAACTAAACGTTTGAGATTGTGTGTGCAGAGTGCGACTATTACAGGGGGAACCACCGCTAGTGTGGGAAAAATCAGTCTATTAATGAAAATATTGCCGTTCTCCACGCTATGACCCAACACTAAATGCTTTAAATTGCTTTGTAAGGTAATTGCGATGATTGGAAAACTTGTTGACATTGGAAATAATGGGAAGGACACCAAAAAGAATCCTATAATCTTCATTGAAAAGTTTGAGTTATCAGACTGGATGAAATTAAAGGAGTACAAGTCATCTAAATTCTTAAAAGCAAATGACCCTGTTAGGGAGAGAAGTAAATAGAAAGAACAAATTAAAGTAAAATCCAAAGCAATTTTTTTGTAGAGATTTACTTTATTGGATATGGGGGCTATTAGTCCTGGCAACGAATGATGACACATAAAGCTGTAAACACTGGAACCTGCCAAAGCAGGGACTTCAGCTAAATTTATTAATTTTGGATGACCTTGAGGCCCATCTCTAACAAGTTTGACTATGGCCATTGTAACCATTATTATAAATGCACACCATCTTATTGTTATTGTGAACATTTGCAAATATTTTGTTTTTTGGATGTTGAAGTATGTGAATGGGCCCACTAAAAGAGCAAATAAAAACACAAAAACCCTATACATATCCATCCTGGTTACATTGTAACCCTCCCAACATTTTAAACTGTAATCTTCAGTATCATTTTCACTGTTACAACTTAAATTTACAATGGTTTTACCAGATGCTGCAGCATATATTGTTAAATCACCAAATAAATATATACACAATGACAAGAAGAATAGCATGTGCCCATATTTATTTAAGTACAAAGATGCTATTTCCCCCAACTCAACTTTGGAGTTTAAGTTAAAGAATCTCTTACGCCTTGTGCTGTTTAAAATTGCTGTTCTTTCTGTGCTGTCACCTTCTTCTGAACTAGAATCAATCGGAACTTCGCTTTCCTAAAATAACACAATAAGAAATAAATAGGGTGTATAATGTAGTACCATTTAACTGTTAAATTAAATTAAGTTGTGTGATTTAGCTGCGGAAAAGCTTTAATTTTGTATATAAGAAAGTTGGGTTAAATATACTCATTTTAAGCCTATAGATAAATATACTCATTTTAAGCCTATAGATAAAAATACTGTTACATACATCAATTTTGTGCGACTGGATTTTCCTCCACTGTATTGTAGCGTTTGCCAATGCCACACTCTCAATTACAAATGTGACAGTCATAAAACTAACAAACGCCAATAAAATTAAAAGTATAGAGCTGAAAAGCCATCCGGCCCCTTGAAAAGCAGCTGGTAAAGTGAGGGCTCCAGTTCCAACAATTATATTAAAAACGTAAATTAATCCCACCTGAAATGTTTAAAATTCATTAACCAGCTAAAATGTTTATTTTATCTTACCAGGGGTGGATACTGATCTTGTGCCATCTTGTTTTATGTTTAATTTTGATAAATCAAGACGAAAACATTTTTGACGTATCAGCTGCTGTTGACAAAAAGTTTGTGTGAAAAACGATAATTTTTATTCAATGAAAATAATTTATTTCGTTTTTTAATAAATATATTTAAAAAATTTTAGTACATTAAACATTACAAATTTGATCTATTTTTGAATCTATTTAAAATTTTAGTAAACCCTAAAACCCCAAAACTGGTAATTTGGCAACAGTGCATTTTTCATTTAATAAAACAAACGTCAAAAGTTTTGACATCACTTGACATAAAAATAAAAACACCTCCTAAAACTAAAATATGTGAATTAATACGAAAGTTAAAGTAACCAAATTGAAAAAAATGGCTCCAGCCCCAGTAGTTAATGGAATATCTCCAAACGAAGGATTCCCGGGAACAAGGGTTATTATTAGAGGGGAAAACTTCGGGAAAAAACCGACCGATCTGTTTGGCCTAACAATTTGCGGTGTAAATTGCCTTTTATCCGCTGAATGGGTATCGGAAAACAAAATAATAACATTATCAGGAGCCATAAACGGTAAAGGTGATGTTATTGTTACTACTCGTTTAGGTGGTCAAGGAACTTCAGATGTTCAATTTAATGGGCTGCAGTTGACTACTGTTGGGCCCATGAAGGAAAGTGCCATATGGGTTGAGGAGACACCTATTTATACTTGGGAGAGGCCAAGTAATTGTGGTGGTACACAAGACCCATTGGGCTTGTTGGTTGAAGATAATGATCCTACAATATCTAAGAGAGAGTTTGAAGAGTATTTTCCAGGTAAATGCGGTGAATTTAGCAGCGAGAATTTCTCGCCATCGTGGTTTTTATTGGAGAATTATCAGTTGACATCCTTTGAGGATCTTAAGGCAGGCTTACAGTTTTTGCAGAGAAGGGTTAAGGACCAGAAAAATGAGAGATTGTCATTTTTGAAGAATAATGTGTCACCTATTATTGATCAGATTGATACTTTGGTTAATTTGCAACAAGCTTATGAGCATGATAAATTCATAGAACCAATACTAAATTTGGAGAAAGCTATTAAAGATTCCGAAGATAAAACTGTGGAATTATTCAACAATGTCTTGATTGGCTGGGGTAAGGCAGAGGAAAGTAGAAATGCTCTAAACACACTATCAAGATTTAAATTTCTATTTTACTTGCCAGCACAAATTGAGAAAAATATAAAGAAAGGGCAATATGAAATCATTATTAATGACTACATTAGAGTCAAAAACCTATTTGGAAAAACTAATATTTCTATATTTAAAATGGCTTTAAAAGAAATAGAGAACTGCATTAAAAAATTGCAAAACAAATTGTACCTAGATCTGCAAAATTATCCTATTCATTTAGGCAAACAAAAGCAAATAATTAGATATTTAGTTTTGTTGGATTCACCTCAAGATTCTGCTTGGATTGCTATAAAAAGTAGATTTGTTTATGTTAATAATGAAATTACCACACTTTTTGATCAATATTATAATTTATCCTATGAAGACAATATTGCCACATTGTCATTTATAGAAGATGTTTGCGCACATTTATTGGGAACTTTTCCGGATTTGTGGAACATGGGTCAGTCTTACTTTAATGGTGAATTAAATGTAAAGCACAAGGAAGAACAGGTTTCTGAATTCAAGCAAATGATCCGTAGTATTATAGAAAACTTCTGCAACTCGGTTTCAACAATTTTAATAAATCAAGAACATGGTATTTCCAACATAAAATCTCCAGATGGTAATATTGTAACTTATGTCCCAGATATCCTACAGAATATAAGATCTATTTACATGCTTTTCATAAGGTTAAATTTACCCAAAGAGTGCATTGATTTACTTTTAAACCTACTAACAAATTTGAAAATACACTGCATTAAAGTATTATTTAAGTATACTGTAGAACATATAAAAGAAATACCTGAAACATGGGATATTAAATTTAGTGAAACATATTCAGGTATTACCGATTTCCCATTGCAATTCTGTAAGTTGGTACAGGAAATAAGTGAGACTATACGAATTTCGATATTTTCTGAACAAGGTGAAAATTCTGTAATACAAAATCAGACTGCCATAGACAGTTTTAATGAAGAATTTGAGACAATGTTAAGGACTTCTGAAACAGTATTGACAGAATTTTTGGTTGATGAAGATGAGGAGAATCAGGAACATCCACATAAACCTTCAATACAAAAAAGGTGTTTACTTACTTTGTCCAACTGTATGTATATCAAAAATAATGTTCTCACAACTCTAGAAAAAGATTTAAATTACGGATTTCCAGTGCCACAAGAAGCAATAAGTAATTCTAGATTTGGATTACTAGAATTGGAACAGGGAATTATTAATAAATACATAGAACTAAAAAGTGCTCCTATTATAACCATAATAGAAGAATCTCTGTATTTTGAAACCCTTAATTGGGACACCACTATTAAAGTAACTGATATTCGCCCATACATAGTTAATTGTATAAACAATTTTGTTCAAATACATGCAGAAGTAAACACAGTTTCAAAGGATCTACTTAAAACCGTTCTGCCGAAAATAGCTGAAGTAGTATCGATGGAGTTATGCAAAATTATTTCAAGTATTGAGAAGTTGAATAATTTTGGTGCTTTGCAAACATATACCGATATTTGCTTTTTACGCAAATTTCTAAGTGGTTTCCCACATTCCAAAGCCGAATTTCACCTGGAGGAAGCTTTAGATAACATTATATCACATTTAAATGAACCAATAACTATTGATATAGAAAACATATTAAAAAAGTGTCAAAATAGAATGCGTTTACAATTTACCTGCATATCTAATAATTAATAGACTTGTTAAAGTTTTAAATTTTATATATTTATCTTACAATTAATAAATTAAATTATATATAAGTCTTATTATTTTTTGCCTTTTCCCCCTTGTTTTGCTTTCCTCTCCAATTGCATTTGCTTTAGTTTTATATTCAATTTAGTTTGTGCTTTTTCATGTTTATCTTTTGTTAGCTTAGGTTCAGGGTGTAAAAATTTTCTTTTTTCTTCTCTCTGCACAGCCTCTCCACATCCATGTATTTCAGGTAGTGCATGGCTTGTACAAAATCTTCCACTACAAAATTTACAGTCTATCGCAAAATCGTTTGTACAGGTTTTACATTTTGTAAATGAGCAAGTGTTGTCTACTTTTTTAACTTTTTCAAGAACTTCATCAAGGTTTTTGGAATTTGTGGCTTCTTTTATATCTTTTTCTTTGTTTTTTAGTTTTGATTCGGTGGCGGTTTCTGTCACAACTCTTGACATTGCACTATATTTAATAAACAAAGGGATATAAAATTGTTTTCACTGAAAATTTGCTAGTGAATATAAAACCCCCAAAAGTGTGGTTAGATTATTACAATGTTGTCTGAACTTTGTCAAAATACATAAATATTTAGAAAAACCAGCTTATTTAGTCATTACTTAACAAAAATATATTATTATTAAATATAATTGCAAAAATGTATTTTAAAAATATATTTTAATTGCACATAAAAATCATTCAAACATTAAAATTATTAAAATTTGGCAACAGCCTTTACGTGTATTGACATCTAGGGGAATAATTAAAAAGTATTAAATTACAGTTGGCTGTTTAGTACGCAAACATCAGCGCCGAGTGGGATGAACTGTTATCAAATATCTGTCAAAAACGCCAGTGCATAAATGTCATTTCTACGCAAAAATAGGAAATTGATGTTGCTCTCGGGGACATTGTTAGACGATAATAATATCTCGAGGTATTGCAGTGGCTGTGTAGTGTTTTCGGTGGTGTAAAATGTGACGGTTTAAAGAACCTTACGGAATAGGTAAAAGTTTTTCGCGATCGATACAACAAATACAAGTGTAAATACAAAAAAATCCGATGTTCTTTGGTGCATATTTTGTGCAGTGACAGTTTAAAATTATGGATATATCATGGAAATTAATTAGTTTATCGCTGGGACTGCTACTGTTTCAATTATGCAATGGATTTCCTATTAATTTGGAAAACACTTCTGCAGGTGAGTCACATTGTGTTACCTCGCCTACTATCGCTTTCATGGACAACAATATTTGGGGGCCCAATAGTTTAATTCTAAAAACGTAACAATTTATTACTTAGTGGTTTTGCCTTAAAATTCAACTTCAATAGGTACACAACCTGTCTGTGTGAGGGTTTAAGCCCTTTTATTATGTAAACCTTTATTATTTAAACCCTTGCCAGTCAGTTCAGGTAGGTAGCTATTTTAAAGTTAAAAGTTCTAGTAAAATATCTAAAAGTTGATGTAAATTACCAGAAATAAAAAAATATAATCATTGGTAACTAAATTATCAGTCTCATCCCAACTTAAAACAATTAACTTTTAGTTTAAACATAAAATATCCTAGGTATTCTCTTTATTTTATTAATACTATTTTCATATTGTTTTATAAAGAAAAAAACCTTTTGTTTTGTGAAAAAATCATATTATAAGGTATACATACCTATTAAATTAAATTAATATTAAATTATTACCTATAATAATAGGTAGTTACTTAAAATAGATCCAATTAAGAAAAAACAAATTATAAAATTACAATTTAAACTGCAATTTTGTGTTTATTTCTTATTAATAATAACTTATAATAACTTATTAAATGTCTCAAATAGGTAACTTAAATTATTAATAATAAGTTATTAAAAACATTTTTTTATTAATTTAAAAAATTAAGTTATTACTTCCTGATTTTAAAAATGAGGGCAATATGCAATTTATGCTGGTATTTAACAGTAAAGCAATTATCGACTTTTAATGCTTAAATTTACATATTGCAGGTTCCACTTGCTTTTTGTCGTCATTTAAACCGTAAATTAATTATTGTTTTGGTTATGTAGCCGGTAAAACTTTTACATTTTTAGTGTTATGTAGGTATATATTTTTATAAAGTAAAAGTTTTTTAATTGCATAATGGTAAATTCTATGTTTAGGTATAGTTTTTGACCATAACATTTTGTATTTTTCGGTATTTTTATTAGGTACCTACTGTGAAATTTGGCAATATTAACATAAAAGTATAAAATAATATTTTATACTTTTATGTTAATATGTTAAAAATATCATATAAACATTATAGATGTCAAATTGATAGTGATTTGACAATACTATCAATAGTAAGAAAAAAACAAAAAATAAAAGTCTATACAGGGTGTCCTGAAATTTGTGCACCATACTTTAACCGAGGGGGTAACAACTGCTGGCAATACATGTACAAATTGTGATGCATTACCCCGCATTACGGCGGCATTACATGACATTACCGGCATTATGTGGCATTATGTTGGCATTCCGCAGTATTACTCTGGTATTAGGCGGCATTACATTGCATTACTTAAAAATTTCACGGCATTACGTACGAATTACGGCATTACGCTCGTATTTTATGGCATTAAGGTTGAATTTTGTGGTTGTGAATTGCAGTGTTTGTTTAGAAGTTATAACTATAGTTAGTTAGTTAGCAGACAGTTAGGTATTTAAATTTAAGAGACAGTTAGGTATTTAAGCTTGAGGTAATTACCTTACCTACTTAAGTGAAATAAAATCATTTATAGGTATTTTTAATTTTACTAAGATATTTAGTTTTTGCTCATCATACACATTTGCTAAGAAAGGGAATTACCCCAAGAACCACAGTTCTCCTTAAAACACAAACTTTGTATTTTGAAGCATTTTTTTCTCAATAATTTCCTGAAATTTTTTAAGAAGCGTTTCTACCCAGGATGAAGTGTATTTTTATTTAACGAGAACTTAATGTAGACGCTGTTCACGTGATTGACGAAAACAAGGCCGTATTAAAAGCTAAATATCCATACGGGCCTAAGATTTTTGTATTTTAAATCGAAAATTGGCATTTCTGCTTTAAATAATTTTAGATTATAAGATTTCATGACATTTGCCATTTTTACAAATTCTTTAAAAAATTAAAACAAAACGTATTAAATTACAGTAAACCACAATAGTAGAGGATCCCAAGTAAGGTCGACCTTCACCCATCTGCTTACCAGATGAAAATTATATTTTATCAAATAAAATATGTTTCTGAACATAAACCAATAGGGTTGCCATAAAAAATATGATCAAGGCTAGCTATAATAAATAAAACATTAAAAAAAAATAATTAATTTTTTAAATTTCACCGACTTGCTTGCCAAATGAACGAAATTCCAATGGAAAGCATACAACATACAGAATGTGTAACAGCTAGGTTGCCTACCTTTTCTGGTCCCTATTACCTGGTTGCTTTGTACAGGGTGATCCCCTATAATGTCGCCCCCCTTTAACTTTTTTATTTTAAGTGTCCCAAAAAATTTAAAAGTTTGGTTATGTAGGTACTAAAAAATACTTTTTTTCTACGTATAAAGAAAATTGGAAAATTGATCAGTATACAGGGAAAAACAAAAAGTTTATTTTTTTCAATGGATCACCGTATATATGAATTTATTTTTCGATTCCTTGTAAAATTCTGAGCATAATTTATATAACAAACCATATACCTAAATTCAACCGTTTCTGAAATATTCGCATTCGAAATGTCATCATTAAATGTTTTTTTTAAACTGTTAGAAATCAAGAAGCCTCAGTATACCAAAATTTTTATTGAAAATAAATTACTATAGTGACATTATGTCAATAAGTGTTGTTAAATAAGTAAAAATGGTGTACTCAGACAGAGAAAAACAAACTATTTCAACTTATTATCTTAAAAATAATTTAAATATTTCAGAAACGGTTGAATTTAGGTATATGGTATGATAAATGAAATATGCTTAGAATTTTACAAGGAATCGAAAAATAAATTCATATATAGGGTGATCCATTGAAAAAAATAAACTTTTTGTTTTCCCTGTATACTTATCAATTTTCCAATTTTCTTTATACGTAGAAAAAAAGTATTTTTTAGTTCCTACATAACCACACTTTTAAATTTTTTGGGACACTTAAAATAAAAAAGTTAAAGGGGGGCGACATTATAGGGGATCACCCTGTACAAAGCAACCAGGTAATAGGGACCAGAAAAAGGTAGGCAACCTAGCTGTTACATATTCTGTATGTTGTATGCTTTCCATTGGAATTTCGTTCATTTGGCAAGCAAGTCGGTGAAATTTAAAAAATTAATTATTTTTTTTTAATTTTTTATTTATTATAGCTAGCCTTGATCATATTTTTTATGGCAACCCTATTGGTTTATGTTCAGAAACATATTTTATTTGATAAAATATAATTTTCATCTGGTAAGCAGATGGGTGAAGGTCGACCTTACTTGGGATCTTAGACTACAATGTATACAAAAAAAGTATCCATTTTTTGGTTGATTTCGAGTTTCGGTTGAATTAATATGAACTGAAATAGCTGAAAAATATTAAAATTAGCAAGAACTCAAACAAGGACAACTAAATTCTATTAAATTTTGCAAAAATTACAAAAAATTTTATAATTAATTTTAATGTTAAGGTCAGGAAAAATTCCAATGTAAAATTATTTACTTATAAATAATGCGGTATGCTGCAATAAAATAAAGTTTTCTTAAAAAAATAAAAAAGGCATTTTTGACATATTTAATTTTTTTTCTCAAAATGATGAAAAAATTAGTCCATGTGATATATTATAAAAAGGCCCCTAAAAGACCTTTAAAACAGGACCCACCTTTTACTTTAAATAGTATTTGACATATTGCAATTTTTTGATTTTCAACAAACTTGTTATTACAAAAAAATGGATCTTTGAGTTTTTTAATGATTAAAACAAATTTACCAAAAATAATCAAAATCGGAGATAGTGAGGAAAAAGCCTTCGGGTGATTTGATATGGACTGACCCAGCTATTTCTGTCCCTTGTTTTATAGTTTATTTGATCTTTTAGAATGTCTTCATCAGAAAAAGAATTAATATTATCCGAAGAAGAATCAATTTGTCCAGTTAATGCCTGTATTAGTAAAGTTCAACAACATGGTTTTCAGTTACCAGTTTACATGTAAAAAAACCTTATGATTTCCATTGATTATGACAACCTATATTCGATATCAAAAATCACCGATATTCATATTGAATATATTAATTTATTTGCAAGAAATTACCTCTTTGAACTCTTAGAAGCAGACGAGAAAGTACTTGTATACGGAATTTATTAAAAAAAACGACTGGACCAATAAAAATCATCGGAACAGGACCATTTCAACTATCAAGACACGATAAATTAACAATTATTAAACTTTACAAAGATGTTAAGAAAAATATGTTTAACTGAAAATATGATCGACTAAAATGTTTATTCGCGTGAACAAATAGTTTAAGAATATGTTTTAGTTGTAGGTACCTCGTATATATGTGTAATACATTGTGTATGTTTGTACAGGGTCCGGCAACAGAATTGAACGGTTTTAAAAATGCTGCTATGGAAATACTCTTGATTTGATATATGTCAAATAGTGACAGACTTGTACCTTATTGCCGAAAGTTTCGTGGCTGCTATGGAAATACTACATATTGATTTAATATATGTCAAATAGTGACAGACTTGTTCCCTATTTGCCGAAAGTTTCGTGTACAATGGCAATTAAAAATTGTGTGCAGAAATTGAGTCGATTGACTTTATCAATGGGATTTAGCCTCTGGACTGTCGGTTTTTTGGATGGAGTTTTAAATCCAGATGTAACATTCGTCGCAAACTTCGGTCTGAAATGTGTAGAGCAATCGAGTGCCGCTCAAACGCTTCTCTGACTCTTCCAATATTTTCTTGTGTACAAACTGTACGAGTTCCAGCGTCAAATTTTGATTTTACACTGCCTTTTTCGTTAAAATCTCTTACCCATCTCAAAATGGCATTTTTTTTATGGGACTTCAGCTCGCATTTGAAAATTATATTCACGACGAAAGCGTCTCTGCGTTTGTATACGAAGGACTGGGTCAGGGTAAACGAATTTACAGCAAATATCCGTTGATTAACCGGCCAGTTTGACATTGCACACAAAACCTTCGGCAATAAGG